TTGGACAACATCTGTGGCAAGCCATTGCACGATTTGTCACTGCTAACTGCCATTAAGTACTTTGTAGAGTTGACCATCTTGTACATCTTGAGTATGCGGAAATAAGATATATAAACAAAAATTAATCGACCTAAACTTATAAGGTATTTTAGGAAGCATTTGCAGGGGTTAAAAAGGCTAATTCTGTCGTTAACTCGAAACTACATCAAACTGTCATTCTAAAGTTTTAAGTACTCAATTAGATGATCATTTTTATAATTTATTATCATACCCATACGAATTGTTTTAAGTGTCTAATAGCATACAATAGAATACTATAAATATAATAAAAGAAATTTAAGATATGTACCATATAATTATACAAAGATAAGTAGGTATTTTATTGGTTATTTTAAAATTTAAAATACAAAATTATTAATTTCATCAATTATTTGTAAATATATATAATTTTTTTCCAACAATTTAATATGTCTATAAATATATTAATAAGGCTAATAGAAAATCACATTTTCATTAAACTCGATGAAGCTATATTATATTCTGTATCAAATGAGCAATGAACCTCGGGGAACTACTTATATTGTCAGGGTCGGTCGCAACGCCATATAAATTATGTAATATATTGTACGACACATATGTTTATACCTATGTCATATTAGGGTCATATCATATAAAAAAGTTAACCTTATTAAACTACTTTGCGCAGAAGTTTACAGACTAAATTCATTATAATAAGATGGAATTGAAAAAAAATGGAATGATTTATTTTAAGTTAATTTAATAATGAGTTCAAATGTGTTTTCAGATGCTCTGGTTAGTAAACTCAATACTATTAAAGGCACAATATACTTACGGCACATCTGATCTCTTGTTCGCCCATCAATTTGGTGACTCGACCGTATAGCATGACGTTCAAATTTTCATCACTGGAATCTACTGAAAATGAGGGCGGTGGTGACAGACAAGGAAACACCAAATTTTCCATACCTGTATCATCGCCTAACAACGGAATAATAATACAAGAGCTCGGTGAATGTGGTATTGTGCAATATCCTTAAATCATGTTATGCATTATTATTTAGTATAGTAGATACCGTGATGAGTATCTATGACGCACTATCCCTCTTTGAATAATCATCAGACAATTATTTATCAACTAATATTTAGATTCGACATTAATATTATGACTAGTTTTCTGCTGGTACGAAGTAGGTAGTATGGTGGCTGAAGGTAGGATTGTAATAAGGGGTAGCTGAGATATAGGGGTAAATTGTTGTGGGTATATTAATGTTTAACGTTTTGTGTTATATTATACTACTTTTCATCAAATGAATATCAATTTCATTAAAATACTGAATTAATGTGTTCAGTAGTATCATTCTTCTTTATTTATAAGGAAGTTGTTACAGAAATTATATATGCATTACATTTATAATTGCATATAGTTCTATTTGAAATTATGAGAGCAGCGATAAATATATTGACTTTGCAGTGATGTGTGTGTGTGCTTTTTAAATTTTTAAAGCCTAATCGGCTTTTGTAAAAAGTTTATTTTGGTTTTTAATGTAATTCTAAATACCTGTGGATATAGATATATGAAATTGTAATTGAATGTTAAATATAAAGGCACCATAACCATTTCCAAATGTTTGAATTATTAATAGACATTTGAAATTTTTTTATTCCAATAATGGAATGACTTACATTCTTGAAAATACTAGGTTTTTCGTAGCTAGTTACATAGCAATTGAGAAATATTAAAAATTGATAGGCACGATTTTCTTTGTAAGTATTAAAAAATTAAAAGTTCAAATCTGGTCAAAATGTATTAAAACCTTAAACATTTTCAAATTATTTTGTGTTTAAAATTATGAAACGTTCAGTTAGTATAGCTAAGAATTGAAAATGTTAATATAAATTTAAATATAAATAGTTCAAACTGTAACCAAAAAGTCAAAAAATAAATATAAACACAGTTAATTTTAATAGGAATTTTAAGTTCAAATATAGACAAAATTACATGTTAATACCTAGGATATCGATTTTAATTTTTGTTATAATTTAAAAATATTATTCACGGGTACTTGAGACTTTTGGAGTACATTATTATATATTTAATTTATTTAAACGAATTTAATCTATTGTAGTACTATTGTACATATAAATCTTAATAGTAAAATGAATTAATTTAGTCCCAATAATATCATAAAATATAATTAGTAATATTATAGTCTGACAAACCGTCTTCACTTAGAATCGTTTTTCGAATTCAATGGTTTTATTTTAGGGGCCTCGAATTTGAACCTGAATTTAGATTCATCCTATCACGTGTTTTTTTTTTAAGTGTACTCAAATTTAAAATTAAAAGGTGATTTTAATTCGAGTGTAATTAATTAGTAAATCACTGATATTTACTTCAAGTGTGCTTAAAACATAATATTTACTAAGCTCTTTAAATTTTAATAAAATATTTGAAAAAGATATGTCAATAATTTCCATGAAAAACTAAAAACTAAAAATATTTATAACTAATATTCTAAAAATAAATGTTTCATAAGCAATACTATCGTAAAATTACGAGACAGCCTAATTCAGGGGCGTGCCGGGGGGGGGGGGGGTTTAATATCGTAATATTTTATTTATTGTCACTATTGTTTATACGAGCAAATTAAACATGTGAAAAAATTGGGCTTTTTGTCCAAAATAAATAAATAAAGTTCAAAAACACATTTTTATCGATTTTTATGCTATATGTAATTTTTGTAACGAAATTTAAGAGATTGTAATTTCAGTCTTAAAATTGATTTTTTTTTCAATTATTTTTAAATCTAATTGGTTATATAAACTGTGAATAAAAAAAACCCAACAATATAATATTATTAATGTGCATGTACTACATGTAATATAGACGTTATAGGACTGTTGTTAATTTGGAATAGCTTTTTTATAGTCACAGGAGCAGTGCAATATCTTGAACAACACTAATATCACAATTTATTACACATACCTCACGCACAGGAACGTAGCGCACCGTTATTCGAACGGTCGAACTTCAATGTGAACGATTTTAATAAGTGAATTTCATCATGAGGTTTGAAGTTGAAGGAGGAACAACTTTTAACCGTTGACAAATCCAAACCATTGAAGATAACATGAACATCTACTGCTTTCATTGTGGGGCATCTGCCATAGTTGCCTGGAAAGACTGTAACACATAATACATCGAGTCAAATATTAAAGGTTTAGTGTTTATAATAGTTATAAGCAGCGATCTAATAATAATAATGATATAATTGGGTATGAAATTAATACAAAAATATATAAAGCGTAAATAGCAAAACAATAATAACAATAATGTGTGGATTTAAATTTAAAATAAAAATAACATTTAACAGAAATCCAAAAAATTGAAAATGACTACATGAAAGATAATAACTAACACAGAGTGAAATAAGAACATTTCTGTCGATACTTACGAATGTTAAAATTCTCATCAAACAGCCCGATGCTGGCTGCGACACTGGGAATAGTGAAAATAGCGATAATCGTCAAATCACTACTATGGACGTCATTGTGGTATTTTAAATGTAAATAAATAAATATATAAATGACAATCAAGAAAACGAAGAAAATTTACTAAGTAAATTAACAGAAGTAAATAAACCGTTTGAGAAATATTAAATTAGGTATCTGGATGCAGTGGCGCCGAAGTCCATGTTAAGGTCGGGCCGTGGCCCGACCTCTTTTTTGAAAAATGTGGCCGGTAGTTCAAAATGTGGCTGGTAGGTCAAAATGTGGCTGGTAGGCCACATTATATTCACATCATAATTGTATTATGAGTAATATAATATAGTAATGTATATTACTCTACTAGGGTACCTCTATAAAATTGTATATAGTAGTATTATAATTCAAACATTTAACATAGTATATTATTAATGTGTATTATGCAACATGGCTGTTTCCTGTAATAAGAAATAGGAATATTTTGTTTAACCATGTGTTAATACTTTGTAACAATATATCGATATTGCCAATTTATATCACGGCTATAGTTTGTAAACATTATAATATTAGATAATAGTATAATACTATCTTTAATCGTGAATCGTGATTAATATTTAATATCAATCTATCCAGCTCCCCGCAAACCGTCATACATTACCCACCCATCATATAATTTTCGGTTAATTTTACCGATGTCCATGCTATTTATAGAAAAAAACTCTATGTCATGTCTATTATCAGTGATGTTATTGTTATTGTTATTATTTTATTTGATTATTATATTATAGTGCAACGACTACAGTCTACAACGTACACATGACCACATCGACTTTATAAATTATATTAATTGTAATTTCGTTTATATAATATTATTTTCGTCAATCGTCATTCGTCACACAAGTCACTAGCCTTTAGTTGTGTACAATACTACAGTTTGAATACTATATTATTTAATTTCTAGTATTACATTTTTTTAAGGAGTGAAAAGAACAAGTAAGTATGAATTAAGTTGAATGATTGATCAATATTCATTAATAATATTTACTTACTTATAAGTTATAACAAACCCTTCAAAATATTTTTTTGGTACTTATTCCCCGAGCCATTGGTGTTATTATCACCAGCAAAAAATTAATTTGCAGTAAACTGTAAAATTACTTACGTACCTAACCAAAATGAAATATACTTTAAGTAGTAACAAATTATGAACTATTTTATGAATAAAATTAGTTTTTATTTATTTATTATTTTTTACATAATTTTATTTCAACTAAAATATAAATATTATATATTATATTTAAATATATCTGTATGCCCTTTTAATATTATTTATATACCTATTTATATTGCGTTCTCGCATAATTAAATAAAACAATTTTAATTCACAATTATAATATTTTGAATGAGCTTTTAAAATTTAAATTTCAGATATTTTGTTTAATATTCTAATTGTATTATTTAAAACCTTCTAAGGTAAATCTGCAGGCTAAATTATGAATAATGACAACAAAAAAAGAAAATTTAAAGGTGGTGCAGAGAAAAATAGGGAAAAACACCAGAAAATATTAAACACTGTGGCCCAACAATGTCACAAAATAACTAACATGTTTTCTTCCAATACATCATGTAAAGTAAGTTAATACTTATTTTTTATGCTCAAGAATTATGAATATTAAATATTAAACATTTTCTAAAATCAAAACTATTACAACTATTACAAATACCTGATATTTATTTAAAAAAAAATTAGCAATCTGTAGCCAAAAATATTTCTCTACAAGTTATTCAAGAAATTGCAGATGGTTCCAATATTGTAATAGACAACCATTCTACAAATAATTGTTTGGTAAATAAACCTATTTTTTAAATCTTGACTTATGAGTAGGTACCTATTAATTATAAAATATTAATATATCATTTTAGGAATCTGCAGCCAAAGATGTTTCTACTGAAGTTAGTGTAGAAAATGCAGATATTGCCAATATTGTAGTGGACAACAATTCTACAAATAATTGTTTGGTAAATAAACTTATTTTTTAAATCTTGACTTATGAGTTATGAGTAGGTAGGTACTTATTAATTATAAATTATTATAAAAAATATATATATTATCATTTTAGCAATCCGTAGTCAAAAATGTTTCACTTGAATTATTTGAAGAAACTGCAAGTGGAGATCTATTGGATGGTTCAAATATAATTTTTAGAAATGATCCTGTTAATTTTGTTAATGTTGAACAATGGACTCCAGAGTTAAGAAATATGATTCTAAGTTTGGGAGCTTGTCAGCCCAAAGAACAAGATTTAAGCTTGGTGAGTTATAAAAAAGACCATCTAAATAGAAGTTTTCATTAAGCTTGGTACAACAGAAAGTTAATTGATAATACATATGTAAAACGGGAATGGCTTAGTTATTCTCCTAAATTAAAAAAGATATTTTGCCTTTATTGCATATTATATGGTAAAAATACCAATACTGCATGGACAAAAAAAGGTTTTTGTCATTGGAAAAATGGATCATTATCAATTACTAAACATGAAACTTCTTCTACTCATATATTTGCATCATTAAAAGTTAAATTAAAACAAAGTTGTCTACCAATTCTACCATCAATACTTGAAGACCATAACCGGCAAGTGGCATTCAATAGAGAACTAGTTAAACAATTAATTGAAATAACAATTTTTTTGGCAAGACCATAATCTCCCATTTAGAGGGCATAAAGAAAATTGGGAAAGTGACTTGAAAGGAAATTTTAAAGATATGGTTGTTCTAATTTCACAACATTCGCCTACTCTATCTGTTCATATCAATCAGTTAATGGCCAAAGGAAAGAAAGAAAATTCTTTTATTTCTTGGGATCGACAGAATTCTCTAATAGACTCCATTGCTCAATATATTTCGTCAGTTATTAGAACACAGATTGTGAAGGCTGGATATTTTAGTATATGTATGGACACGACATTTGATGTTTCACACAAGGAGCAGCTTTCATTTATTGCAAGATACATTTTCAATTCTAAAATACATGAAAGAATTATTGCAATAACTGAATCGCCTTTAACTAATGGTAAAGTGCTTTTTGACATGTTTAAATGTGTAATGGAAAAATGTGGTTTGAACTGGAAGAAAAATTTAGTCGGTCAGTCTTACGACGGTGCTGCAAAAATGAGGGGGTCATACTCTGGACTCCAAGCACGAATTCTTGATGAAAATCCAAAAGCTCTTTTTGTGTGGTGTCATGCCCACAGATTAAATTTAATAGTTTTATCTGCTGTTGGATCTTGTATAGAAGCAGTAGATTTATTTGGGAATATGGAAAAACTTTACTGTTTTATAACATGCAGTAAAAAAAGATCAGACATTTATAGAATGAAGCAAAAAGAAATTTATCCAAAAAAACAAGTACATGCAATAAAAAGAGTTGGTACCACAAGATGGATGTCAAACTCATTTGCTTTAGCAACAATTTTTGAAACACTGGAAGCAATATTGGATATGTTAGAGGAAGTTAAAAATCAAGATGGCTCGTCAGATTATAAAATAGCCACTGAATGCAATGGGCTATTAATGTATTTTCAGTCTTCTCGTTTTATTGTAACAGCATTTATGTTTAAGCATCTGTTTGATATTCTAGGGCCTTTAAGTAAATTATTTCAAGGTAGAGATTTAGACATTTTGGCTGCCGTCAATTATTTAAAAAAAGCAGAAAATAATATTATTATGATGCGTAATGATGAAGTTTTCAATGATATTTTTGAAGAAGCAAAATCATTTTCAGAAAAACATTTTGGTGATTTTGAAATAAATAATTTACGATCCTTTAGGAACAGGAAAAAAAAAGTTGTTCTACAAATCGGAGAGATAACTTTTGATGAAACTATTGAGAATCCAGTTCAATACTTTAAAGTATCAGTATATTTTGTAACAATCGACATTATAATACAACAGATTCATGACAAGTTTAATCAAAATTCAGTATCAGTCATGAAAGATATTGGTCTGCTATCATTAAAAAGAATGAAAGAAAAAACTGATCTCCCTCAAGATGCATTTAAAATGATATGCAATGTGTATGGATTAAACCAAGAATTAATCAAAAATGAATATATCATGTTTAAAGAGATTGTTAAAGATTTAGATTTTAACTTGTTATTAAAGCTACCAGAAAAAATCCATGCAGACTCTGATGAAGACAACATTCATAGTGACAATGAAGAAAGTGATGGGGAAATAGACAATTATAAAAACATGGCAAGTTTAATAAATATTTTTGAAACAATGAATAGCGCCAACATAAATGAAGAATTCGAAAACTTATATAATATAATTAAACTAAGCTTAACACTACCAACGTCTAGCTGTACAGTTGAAAGAAGTTTTTCAAAATTAAAAATTATAAAAACCAGGCTACGTTCAACGATGGAACAAACAAGATTAAAAAATTAAATGCTCATTTCATGTGAACATGATATAAATATTGATATTGATAAAGTAATTATTGCATTTTGTACTTAATTTTAATAAAAACAATTGTTAATCTAAATTATTTTATTTATTTTCAGGTAATAGACATTTTAGCTGGAAAATCATCAGTTTTGACTAAATTATTAACCTTTTAATTTTATTAGTCATTACTCATTAGTCTTAACATATTTTATGTTTATTATTTATAAACTAAGTTAAAATAAATATATTTTCATTTTTCAACAGTCAGTATCTTAAATCTATATTTTTATATTTTAAGGATTTTAATTTATATATTTTTGTAGCATCCTAAAAATTTATTTGTAACCTAAAAATTTGCTTTTGGGAAATATCTATGTATGTACATTGTACATAATATAAATTATAATTAATATATAGTCCCCTGGTGTCTGTCGAAATCTGTGATTTTTCCTCAGAAAAAAATGTTTATTCAGTTTTTTAAATAATTAGTGAGAAATTAACTATTTTTATTTATTTTTTCTTTTAATACAACTAAATATTTAGTAAAATTGTGTTCCCTGTTGAGACAGCATGTATCAGGGATGTTTTAACGTAGGATGGTCAAACCCGGATGAAATCCATTGGACATTTTTTCACTAACATACAGACACGATAATAATACAATTTGTATACGTACAACATATTATTTGATGTAATTTTTTATTTACCACCTCCTCCCACCCAAATTTTATATTTTTTTTTACGGCAATAGGGTTATTAAAATAGTTAAAATATTGAGGCCGCAAAGTTTTGAAATTGCCCGACCACATTTTAAAAACTTCGGCGCCACTGTCTGGATGGGCCAGAGAAACGAGACAAGTAAACTAGTGAACGGTAAGAAGTCGGTACACGGATCGCACAGTTGTAGCGGACACCCTTGGCGTGCTCTTTTATAAGCCGCCTCTTCGGCGGAGGCGGTAGTAGTAATGGTCGTCCCCTCCCCGGCTGTGTATAAATATAAGTGACATATAACGGGCTTTCAACGAGTAACGACCAATACTTCCACCCACTAAACAAGTAATATAATGTTTTTATCCGTATCCCCGGGCCACTCGTTTTACGGGATACTAACCTTGCACGTCTCATAGACATTTAGATTCAAATGATACAAATGTTTAAAACCTTTTATGAAGTTGATAAATTGCAGTACAGTTACTAGCTAAAATTTGAATTGAAATAGAACTATCAAAAAAGTTGAACAATGAAGAAATTATAAATGACTTTTGCTTCTAAGAAAGCGAGAAAGAAAATTAGCTTATACACGCACCTCATCACATACCGAACGGCCTGTGTATCTTGTGTGTAATGGTATTATAGCCACAGATCTATAAAACAACTAGGTATACAACATTATGGGAGGGCATGAATCACGCCACCATATGCAAAACTGGCCTCTTAAACTTGAGGGGGTGGCTGTATGGGTGCACGACCAAACACGTACGTCGTTTCGGGTCGCAATAACGATGAAACCAATGGATGATGAGGAGGAGAGCAGGTGTGCCGTAATGGCGATAATACTATACCATTGACCATAATATTATTGCATTTATTAAGAAACAAGTTGGAACGTCAAGTGCACAATACGACAAGACGAGACGAGACACAGAACAAAAAACAGGAGAGATTATGCCATATCAATATTGTGATATAGATAACACGAGAGAACAAAAGACGTGGTTATGGTTATGGTTCTGCGAATATTTCGACACAACATAAAAACAATGATTACAGTAGTTTATAATTTATAATAGTGGACACATGGGAAGGAACGCGAGTGGAGCTTACGGGGGTTCGGTGGTGGACTTTTGGTCACGACGACGCACGAGACGGCACTTGTTACGATATCTCGTAACAATTGTATACAATAGTTTGTTCTTCTTACAATTATTAATACTTGTGCATGTTATAATAACTACTTTTTATTTTGTATATTTATAACTAATTATTTAATTAGGAATCAAGTAAACTACTAAGGATTTCTTAATTGTATTCATTATTTTAAAAGCCGGAATAACTGGCTCATTAGCTTATATTAGTAATATTTACGTTGTTTTTCATACTTATACTTTTTAAATAATGTATTTTGTTTATATTACTTTTGTTCCACTAACAAACTGAAATTATGAAAAATGATATTATATTTAATTGTTTTTTAATTTTTTATATATTATTTGAATTAACTATTTAGATTGTACTATTTTAAATATGATTTGTTTTGCCAATGTTAAATCTAAAGCCAACCACAATTTATCTCGAACTATGCTATCATATGCTTGCTTGAAGTCAACAAAGCACATATGGACTTCCTTTCCGAATTCATAATATTTTCCATTATTTGTCTGATTGTGAAGATATGATCAGAGGTGGACTTCCCTCTCACAAAACCACTTTGATAGTCTCCTATTATATCTCTTGAGTATACTTCTGACCTTCTTAATAATGCCAGGGATAGGATAGAACTCGTTCTGGCGCTTGTAATAATTTATATGTGGTAGATTTAGCCAGGTCCGGCCCACGATCACATCAAACGGAATCGCTTCGTCACTAACGACGAGCACACGGTGATCGGCAGCACTTGCGTCGTCAATCGTTATATCCGCCAAGGTTTCGCCCGCGGTAATCGTACCCGGAGAATTTAGGTCACCGACCGTGGAAATGGAAATGGACCATACAATTGGCGAGGCTGATTCAGACTAAAACGTTCGAAGAACCGGTGTCGATCAGACATGTAGCACGGATTTCGTTGAACAACACGTCCTTCACGAAATAGTTCACTTTCGGGCTATACAATGTCGGTTCAACGCGATATGTCTCGGCCGCTGGCCGCTGGATTCACCGTACACCGGGGGCGTCATTTGGGGGGGGGGGAGCAGGGTGTGCAACGGCACCACTTACTTAAAAAATGTTAAAAATTGACCAGCCATCAATACTCCAATGCACCGTCACAATTAACTTATACTTTATGATTTCATGTATAGGTACTTAATATAAATAAAATCTATATTTCTTTTCGTTTTTGTATATTTTTGGTTTATTAGGTTTATTGATCATACCTTATTTGCTTTTTTTTCAAATATTAGTGAAATAGCATTAGCTGGTTGCTTTGATTGCTTATAAACTTTTAATTCTTTGAATTGCTATATACTTAAAAGTTGCATTAGTCGTTATGAGTTTCAATTATAATTATAAAAGGGAAGAAAAGAATATTTACATAGGTTTGCATAGGTTACCTACATTTATGTATGTAAATATTTTTTTTTTAATCACCTGACGAAATGTCAAAATTGGACTGTCTAAAAGTTTGCACACCCAGAAAAAAATCAGAAATAACGCCCTTGCCGTACACTGTTCCCGCGAATGTGTCGTCGATTGGCAACCCGAACATGGTTTCAGTAGTTTCGGACAATCCCTGGATATATGGCCGTTAGCACCGCAAAATATAACTCGGATGCGGTACCCGGACCATCACTTGTGGTTCCCGGAGTTGACAGTGTTTTCCCGACAACGCGGGAACGTTCCGCTGATCGTATTTCGCTGTCCTTACGGTAGGCACTGCGGGTGGCCTAGACGTGGTCGGGAACTTCGCACTACGTAGTTCGTATAAACGCTGCCCCTCCAGCAGGGCGGCTAGCAACGTTGCAGCTGCGTTGTGGTTATCATACAATGGTTGATACCGAGTTGCGGTCGAGATTATAATAGGTAAAAAAAAAATCCGAGTTGCGGTCGGGATCAAAACAGGTAAAATATCAAAATAGGTAAAAATCCTAGTTACGGTAAAAAAATATGATTAATAATTATTATGTTTTAAAATATTTATATATTTACATTTGTAATATTAAACCGGTTCATATTTGTATGATACACATTTCACAAATGTCAGCGAGTCAATTTGTTTTTTCAAATACTGTTGTATTTTATTTTTAGTAAATTTCTGATTTATGCTCTCGCTTTTTTATTAGTTTCCAAATCTAGTGAATTGATTTTTGAATATGTATCAATCTGAATATTTTTGACACATTTCAAAAATTCAAATATGTTGGGATGTGACGATCGGTTCTCAGTTTTGAATTTAGAATTGAACGCTTCACTTCCACTATTCGTTCTCCAAACATCATTGTTCAAAGCTGCCCAGAGTGTGGTTGAAAAAGTAGCATCATTCCCAATATAATTATCGACTAAATACTAAATAGTCACTAAATTCAGTAACTCTTGAATCTATAGGTTGTTCGGCGATTAAATCTAAAAACACTTTTCCCACTTCATCTGGAGGGAGAAAAGTCAATCCAAAAACGTATTGTAACCATTAATCGTTAACCGGATACTGACCGCAATTAAGACGTTAATTTTACCTTCAATATTATTAAGACCGCAATTCGACTATGGCGACCGCAACTCGGACAATACCTATACAATATACTTTAGGTAAACTATTAAATGTTACAATCGTTAATAAAATTATTATTGAAACATTTATGCTAAATTGGTCTAGTGCAATTAGTTTATGCTATTGTACCAATTTAATAATATTACATATCTATATGTTGAAGCCTTGCTCACTATCGATAAATAAAACTCATGGATCGTCTCTGATCACGTCATATACGATAAAATAAACCTACAGTATTTTTTAAAAAAAACGTATCATAATAAAAAAATAATATTTGAAATGATGGTAAAAACGATTGCATTAAATTAGTAGTTTTAATGAATAACATTTTTTGTCGACTTTAACGACTGACTAATATTGAACACTTTTTTCCAACTCAGTTTTTAAGGAAATTAAAAAAAACGAATGATATAATTATGTATATTATGACTGTGGGTTGGATAGGAACCCTATTGCATTGTGTATGATTATTCGGCTAGTTACCTGGTTAGTTTATCTTTTTATTTTCTATAATATGCAATAACCTTATAATAATATTTAAAAATTTTAGGTTATTATGTTTTATGAAAAAAATATTTATTATTGTTCATAAATCTCATTACTATTTATGCTTTACTTTTTATTGACATTTAATTATAAATAATTTATAAAATATAAAAAAATTTTAAATAAAAATAAAAATATGTTGGAACCACAGACAATTACAATACGAGATTGTCCATTGTAAATTTTTTAATGTGTACATAATCATTTAAATAACTTAAAATGTTGGAGACAACAGATAATGAGACAACTACACATATCCGTAAGTCATTAATTAGTTAACCAAAAGAGTTGTTGGTGGCATGACAGTAATTTGTATGTCAATATAAAAGGACCCACTAGTATATGCGTTCTTGACATATATATGTATGTGTAATAAATACAATGAACAATTTTATTATTAATGACCTTAACAGTTTTTCTGAACATAACATTATTTAATCAATCAATAGGTAAATGTATATGCTAAACACCACTCACTCACTCTTGGCTACATCTTAAAAACAACAAATGTACAAATTTGAAATTTGAAACAGTGGGGTTCTTTTATTGATTCTAGATGAGCAATTATAAAGGATTTTTTGAAATTCACATCTGAAAGGGTTCAACAAACAAAGAATTTGAGATTCATAGTAGTGTTTTACATAAAACGACACATTTCTAATACCAATGTATGGTTAAATATCACTTCCATTAAATGAACAATTTGTCTATAGTAAGAATAAATATTTTTTGGGTGAATCAAGTTTGTCATAAATTATATTGAATGAAAAAAAACCTGGTGCATAGACACCACATTCCCCAAATATAGTTATTGAAATACAATTATAAAATATATTATTTATACAACCAAATACATTATTTAAATTTAATGTCCTTATGACCTTTTATCATTCAATAGTTGACATTAAATATATATTAAACTAACGGAGTAGGTACCTGACAAACAAATATAATAAATGTGTTGACCCGTCTAACTCCTAAAATTTTACATTTATTAGTGATTTTGAAGTGAAAATGTTTAACCTATATAAGTTTTTGTGGGTTTTAACATGTTTTTTGAAAATTTAGGCTAATTAACATTTATATTTTTTAATAGTTAAAAAATAGGTTAGGATATACTATATTTTTATTTTAATACCGCTAAAACAAAAATAAGTGTTTTACTGATTTAACATTTAACCTAACATGAAAATACAAACATAAAAAAAAAAAAGTAGTCCTATAACACTAAAAGTATAAAAATGTTTAAAAAATTACATTTAACAGTTGATAAACTTAATAATACCGTTAAGAAGTTTGAATACTTTAATAGCTTAAAAACGTCCACTTAAAAATCACTAGTAAACTTGAAAAACAGATACCATTTAAAACTAAAAACTTTAAAATGGAAACAACTATTAAAAATTATTAAAAACCAATAAAAACGGTAATAATTATTCACAAATTCTTGAAAAAACAAGGTAAAACCTGTAAAATGTATCCTTATATTTTTAACTATATCGCATTTCCAACACATAGGTGGATTAACCAAATGCATTCTTTTTTTATACTTAAAAAGACACAAGACATTAATTCACATGTGTATTAAATATAATATATATGTATAGGTATGCTCAAATAAATAAATAGCTGATAGCAGTATGGATTTTTTTAATAAAATATTGTTTTTAAATTAACAAAATTAATTTTTAATTTAAAAAAATAATGTTTAAAATTCACATGTACATTTTATAACTTAGCTTTTGGTAATTCTTAATGGCGAAGAACCAGCAAAATCATCATTATCGTTTTCTTCATCACTTTTGTCCAAACCTTTAGTCAAATCAACTGTTTTTTCCAGCATAACGCATTTTGATATTTGTTCTAGAACAAATAATATTATTAAACTAGTTTATATTTTATAATTTTTACTCAAGTTGTGTACATTTTAAATTTACAAAAGACTTACCTTTTCTTGGTAAAGTCTGAACAAAAGTGTCATAGTTTGATTCAACAGTGTTCATATTCCAAATGCCAACAGCAAAACCAGCAGCAAAAGCAGCACCTAGAGCTGTAGTGTCCAACATTTTAGGACGCACTATTATCAAAGACAAAAATAAATGTTAGTTGAGTTTAGCTAAAATATGCATTAAAATATTGTTTAACTGAAAAGATATTAAATATTCTATATATTAAGTAAATAGTATTAATAAAACTATATTTTTAATATTTATGTAGTAATTTTCTAAAAATGTAAGTAAGACATAAAATAAAACCATTATTATTTTTTTATAGAACATCAAAATGTGTATTTATTTATTAATTTATTTATAATTCAATGGGGCTAGTCCTTTTACAGCATAGAATATGTTATGCATGACAATTTAATATAAAATAACACGAGGTATAGAGGAAACATGCATAACACTAAATAATATTGATAATGCAGATTAAGTAATGATTAATATTCTTAAAAGAAAATTTGGGTTGACAATGGACTAATTAAATTAAAACTAACATTTTGTAACATTTGCTGACCATAGTATGTTCATGATGTATTTTAAATGATAAATCAATAAACAATTTGAAGTGGTAGAATTTTTAGTGAAAGAAGCAACTATACATATTACTACAATAATTAAGATAGACAATTATTTTAAATTATAATTTAAAAATACATCAAAATTATTTTTTAAATTGATTGAATTTGAAATAGAATTCATTTGGGCATAAAAACCTTGCATCATCAGCAAAAAGAAGAACTTTTACTTTTGTAATAAAAAATGTGTAGCAAACATTTTATGAATAATAAAATAGTAGAGGTCCTAGGTGTGACCTTTCTGGTATACTGGAGTATACTTGAAACTCATTCAAAGTTTGAAAAGATAGTTTTAGAATTTGTGTTCGATTAAGCAAACTAAAATAATGAGGCAGAAATTCCTTTAACAATTTAGTTTAAATAATAGTAGTGAATAGGTATATTTTGTTAGAGTATTTTTGGAAATCAATATTAACTTAATGGCTTTTGTCAGAGAACTTTTAAAAACTCAGACTGATATTATAACAAGAAGTGAGTTGAGATACAATTGTTTGGGTAAAAACCCGTATTCAGAATGACTATCAAAATTTGAAAGTAGCATTAATAACATCATCGTGATAATTGCTTCAAATATTTTTGATATTCAAGATCATTTAAATGTTGGTCTATAATAACAAACATTATTTTTAGTGCCAGATTTATGAATGGTGGTAACAAAAGATTTGTCCATAGTTATGGAAAAATACTATAAACAGTGTAACATTTTAACAAGAGAGTGCTTAATAGATTTCATAAACAAAGGTGATATACCATCTAACCCTACACCTGAATGCTCATTTGATGAATCAGGCATTTTAAGATTTAAATTTCTGATATATTTCTAGAGCTAACATTTAGATTATAAGCATTAGATGTCGGAAAAGTCAATGTCTAAATTAGTATCAACAAATATAGAGAAGAAAATATATAGCCAACAAATGCAAAGTATCTTCAATAGTTTAATTCGTCATTATAGAGAAAAACCGTTTAATAACGTAAATGGTATTTAACCTAAGTAATTTTAACAAATTGATTTTATGTTTATATTTATTATTGAGCTCTAAGTTAGATATGAATTTGCTGTGAACTAGAAAAGATGAGTTTTTATATTTTTTACACAAAAACGGATAGTGCACGACAGTTTGTTACATTTATATTTTTTGTGGGCTTATTTTTTCAATCTAATGATGTACTATTTCACAAAATTTTAAGGCTAATGATTTCAAATCAATGGTACAGTACTGATATTCTGCATAAAATCTTAATTGGACAAAATATGTGTTTTTTAGTTTTTATTTTTTTATTTAGCATTGACAATTATGTACCTATAAAATTAATATACAACTTTGTAAGATATAAACTGAGAAAACATATAGAAGAATGTGCAACTGACACAATTTATCGGTTCTAAAAAATATTAAACTTTGAAAATAATAATTTGCCTCAAAGATTACAAAATCATGATTATCTACTAATTTTATTGGTTTTGTATGTAACTCAATTATTACAACAACTTGTAACAAATCCATAAATACATTGAATTTGTTTTTAATTTTGTAAATAATTTGTGTGCATACAAAATCTTTTTTTAAGAAGGAGAATGTGAAAGAGTAATTTAAATTACATTTTATTTAAAATGCTTGTATTCAAACTTACTTATGGAAAACCCACAAACATTTGTAAGAACTTTCAAAAATGTATCACTGGTAGACATATTCCCATCTACATTCAATGCCATAATAGGATGTCCAGTGTCTTTCTGCATACATTCCATTACGTCTTTTGCCTTGGAACATATTCCTTCTAGAATTTCTCGCATTAAACGTGCATCTGATGTCTCCATAATCAGTCCTGTGAGTTTACTGTATATCATAGAAGATGAAAATAAGTTAATATACTTTGGAAAATAATCACGTGTAGACCAAACAAAATTCTTCAAATAAAATAAAATATGAATTTAACAGTGACCATGAGATATTATTTTACAAAAAAATCAATAAGGTATTTGTATTGTAATAATGCTACTAACCCATCAGCTTCAGTTGTCCAGTACGGTGAATACAGTTCAGCAAAAGCAGGAACGAAATGAATTCCATTTGTTTCTTCTGCATTATTATCAGTTCCCTTCATATTCTTGTAAACATCCATGATCCACATATTATGTTTCAACCACTCAGTAGTATTTTCAGCTATAGCCACAAATCCTTCAAGAGCATAAATGGGATCGGAGTGTTTGCCTATTTTGTAAGCGATGGTAGTTAAAAGGCCGTTAGTAGAAATCACAGGCTGAATAAAATAAAACATGAATTAGTTTAAATAAGTATAAGTATTATTAGGAAATTCTGTAAAGCTGTGTGAAAATTGAATTTAGTATTTTTAATATTTTCTTTCATACATGTGAAATTTATTAGAACAATCAACAATTGTTTGCATTAATTTATCATTCCTTTCATTAAATTGACAACCTAATTATTGGTAAAGTAAGCAAATCTGGAAGAAATGTAAAAAAAAAAAAACAAATCATGCTCACCCTACGACCAGTGTTATACAATAAAAAGCAGCTTGTACCAAATGTACACTTTACAGCACCAGCTGTGAAACACAGCTGACCCACAAAGGCCCCTTGGTGATCACCAATGCACTAAAACAATACATTATTATAAACAAAAATAATAATAATTTTATAATGCACAGAGAAAATAGTTTGGCTTTTAAAACTACAAGCAATTATTACCCCAGATATTGGTGTATCTATCAGTGGTCCACAAGCCATTAGACCATACACTTCAGAACAACTCCTTATATCAGGAAATATTAATGTTTTAGGTATATCAAAAAATCTGAAACAAAATTAAAATAAATTACATTAAAAAAAGTTAGATAATTCAAAGCAAAAAATGTATAGCTTCACGTTCATACTTTCATGACTAATATAGTTTACAGTAGTATTTTAGAGGAAGTAGGAGCAACATCTAGTTCTCATATTTAAATAATATTTAAATTTCACTATTTTCATCACTAAATTATTTAGTTTTAAGCAGTTTAAGCATAATATAACAAAAATTATAATTTAAAATAAACAAACAAATGTCAACCTCTTGATAATCAAAACAATATATACATTATTGCTGTTAACATTAATGACAAAATTTAATGTACCATAATGCTAAAATAGTATTACTTATAAGTAATAATACTAAACCTACGACAACTTCAAAATATAATTACATAAATAAAGTCTTATCCCATTTTAATGAATGAATATCCATCAGCATGGTCCGAGAAGCATTAGTGACATCAGTAATATGAATTCCACCGTTTACACCACCAGTAAGATTCTATTAACAGAAAGTAAATTCAAATTAGTAGTTACAAGTGAACTTAAGAAAGCAACAGTCAGCGCAATAGGTTTTTTTTTCTAAGATTTTATTAAAAAATTAACAAACATCAGGAAGCAAAATATAAATAGTTTTGAATTGAATAGTTTTAATTTTTTTTAATTTTTAATTTATAATAGTAGACAAATTATAACATTTTTTTTAGATTTATATACTTAGTGCTTTGTTATTTTTTTAAATAAAGGAGTGGAGTCTTATACCAAATACATCCATAATAAACTTCTATAAATCGATAATTATTTTTGTAAGTGCAAGCAAAAATTACAGAAATTCATAATATTTTGATTAAATCTCAACAATTGGAATAGCTGTTATATTATAATAGTATACAATTCTCACCAGGAACTCAGTTTTATCAGGGAGAAGAATGTGTGAATTGTAGGGCCACAGACCAATAAATATTGCACTATTTTGTTTAGTATGTATGTATGTTTATGCTATTTTTGTATGAAAATATGTACACACGTAAAATATATATGTTTCTAGCAAATTTTCTGTTAACCGTCATAGTCCCGGTCCTGACAGTGACAACTAATCGAGTTTCTACTGTATTTAGAATTATATTTTAAAGTAATTAATTGTGTATACCAATTTGGTATATTGGTTTACTACATCATTGATCAAAACTTCGTTCTGGTACTTCAATAGCGACAAGTAACATAAACAAGAGCAATTTTTCTCTGTTAAAATAAAGGATATGCTTTTATGGAGGGGTTGGGATTTAAGGTGGTCCTAAGGATTTCACATTTATAATATGTAATTAGGAAACAAATTTGAATGTAATTTGCAAATTTTTATGTTATAAGTCAATTTTATAGAAAATGAATATAATTTGATAAAAATTTAGTTAACATTCATTCTAAAAAAATAAACATAAATATTTATTATGTTTATACTGACAAAAATGTGACGCCAGAGGACATTAATGTTGACCAGCGTAGACACTAAGGTATATACATACAACATACATACAAATATGTAAAGATAATAATATTAATACCTAAGAATAAAAATGTATATAAATATAATTAAATATAATTAATTACACTTTCAATATTGAAAATAATTTTAGAGCATTTTTGTTTAGTGCAATTAAAAAAAAAAAAAATATTTTATGAGTGCATTAAATAGTATTTTTTTTATTCATTCAAATATATTCCCTATATATAATAATATGTGTATGATATAACCAAGTATGTAAAGAAAACTATTTTTTTAGGACTAGAAAAATAATTTATTATAGGTATGTCGGTATAAAAGACAAGCTACACCCTTCATTTAATATTTTAACATGGCAATTTTTTATACTGTACTGTCAACGGTTTTCTTAAGTTATTACCCAAATTAGCCATGAATCCATTGTACCAAACATACACCTCTCTTCTTGAATAGCTTTTGAAACTTGAGGTACGTTTTCAATCAACCATATCAATTTGAACACACTAAAGTATGGATTCAACGTTGTTCCGCATTTTAATTGTAAATATCTATCAGATAATTAACAAAAAAACATAAGCAATTATTAGCACTATTACATGAAAATATAACTATGATCAAATTACAGAAAATATTATTTTATTATTTTTTGGTGTTATACTACTATCTAATAGTATCTTAAAATATATAGTATAAGTGAAGAATAATAAATTCTCTAAGAGTAAAATTTGAATAGTATAGTGCTAAGAATATGAAACAAACTTATGTTGAATCTAGTTTAAAAACAATAGAATAGTGTCTAGAAAAAATATTAAATCACTTAAGATTTAAAACCACTATGATTGGGCTTACTATGGTACAATGTTTAATGTTAAATTTAAATATTAACTCACTTTTTTTGTTCATCTGGTGTTTCACAATTAGGAATTCGTTTGTTTCTGAATCTATCAACTATTGATTGTGTAATCGCCATGTCCATCCATACTATAGATTTGTAGTTATTTAACATTTAGATATTGTTAACTTTAAATTAGGTCTTATAACTAGTAGAGTTTACTTAGCAGTATAAAAATGTATTTACTTAAAGCATTGTATAACGGTGCTCCTGTATATTTGTCCCACACTAAAGTAGTGTCTCGTTGATTTGTTACACCAATTGCAGCAATAGCTGAAGGTAATATGTTCATAATTTTGAGTTTCTCGCATGTTATAGCTATAGTTTCTTTGACTCCTATAAGTATATCCTCTGGATCTTGTTCCACCCATCCTTCATACATGCTTATGTTATTTACATTTATTTGATGAATAACTACTGGCAGGTGAGTTTTTGATGAAAAAACCTATAAATTATTTAACACACAATGTACAATTTTTGCATGTAAATCTTTTTTGAAGATATTTAACCTATAGTAATATTATACAATACGTAAACTAATTATAATTCCCAACTATAACTGTAAGTAATGAATAATAAATCAAATAATAAAAATATTAGATCATAAGCCTAAAAAAAATAATTGTTGTTACTTAAAAATATAAAGTGTATTGCTATATTTAAAATATATAATAGTATAAATATTGTTTTTTTTTTTTTAGCCTCTAGTAAATATAAATATTGTTATTATAGTACATACCAAGAAACGTATACTGCCAAAGCCTACATCAATAGCACCAACAAATTTTTCTTCAGAAGCATACATCTTTATTATAAATAAATGAAAATTTTTCAAATTATTAATAAGTTATATACTAGTATAATAAAAATATTGCATTGTATACTATACCAATTTGTGTGCATTATTTTTCTTATCACAGATTAAGTTATGTGTCTTGGACATTGTAACAAATTATAGATGTTGATCTAGCTGTTATTACAAATAAAATAACCATAAATTAGAATAAATATGGTAATTTTTTTTGTTAAGTGATTAATAACAAATATGACACAAAATTAGTTGTTATTATGCATTTCGAAGTCAATGACATTGAAAAATAAATTACTAATATAAATTTATAAATGTACATAATATATCTATTGATATGAAAATTTCTTTAAGTATTCGATTCCAATAATGTTAAGTTAAGGAATAATGATTAACTGCTTTTAATGTATTGTGTATTAAACTGTTATCATATTATGAATAATGATCTTATAATACATATATATATATAAATTTATAATGTTCATATCATTCCAATTATCATTAATTATTATATTTGGTATTAATTTTATATCCTATTTAATAATTATTAACATTGCCTTTTTATTGGAAATACTATAAGAATATACAAATTGTCATGTGTCATTTACTTTATTGTTTTTAGATTTTTATGATTTTGTAAATTAATTGGATTCATTTTACTTTGAAGAATTATTTGTAATGATTATATTATTTTTAGTTGAAAATTAGGAAATATTGGAATCAATTAAAGAATAATTTTTTCTGTGGAAATAGGTATTAAAGTCTCAATATTACAAGACTAATTTGAATCACATCTTCAATATTATATACTATTTATATTCATGATTATAAAGGCCAATTAAAACAGCATGGTAATACAAAACCAGATGTTTACAATACTCATGTGACGAAGATGAAATGACGGAGGTCCAAACTTTAGGTTTCTGATCTGTGATGCTGCAGCGATGACAATGTGAGTGTTCCATAGATCATAAAATAGACGTTGATATAGACAAAAATAATAGATCTATGTACTATGTAATGATTGCCATTCAGAAATAGTCAACAACTAGCATTAAGGCTTAAACGAGTCGATTTTTTTTGTAGTTTTAGCAGAGCTGGAAGTGATTAAAGCTATTTAAAAATGTAAATAAATTTAATCATAAATGGGACAAAAAAGTTAGTGGCCTATTTAAGTATTAAATATTCATATTGTCACTAAATATTTTTGGAATAATGATAGTTACAGTGACTAAGATGGATGATCAAACTTGGAGTGACAGAACCATAGATAATGTTAACATAAATAGGCTATCCCTATACCTATAATATACAAGGTATCTAAAACTATATTGAGTAAATAAGTATTTTGATCGTTTTGTGTATTTTGTTTATTTTTTGAATGTAAAGTGTGCATGTAATAGTGTGTCATGCTGGTGAATACACCTGCAAACACTTTAAAACTACATCCAAAGGATTGGTATAATATTGTAATGTTTATAGTTGTGTTTAAATATATCATAAGGATTTTTCATATAACAAATACTGAAATACCTACACTAAATTGTTCAGATATGAAGTTACTAAATATTACAAACCAACAATACATTTTGATTAGTTTTTCTTCAATTTATAATCTTATGATTTGTTCATGAATATATGGTTTTGATTTACTCAAAAATTAAACCTAACAGTTTTCAATAAATTATTCAAAACATACAATTTGCTATGTGCTTGCTTACGAAAATAACGCAAGTGGGTATGGAGTATTTAGCTATTTGCAAATTTGAGTATAGCTCGTGTGTCAAAACTATAGACCCTCAACATAATATTTTCATGTGACTAATTACAGGTACAATTAACACTGGCTACTACACACTGGCTACCAACATTAATAGTAATCACTTCCCTTTTCGAAGGGCAAATGCTTTAATTAAAGAGTTTTCAAAAGAAAACTCAACTTTAGTACCAGCTATATTGATTTGATGACCTAACAAAAATATTATTCTCTGTTATTTATACTGCTATATATTTTATTTTATTTAAATTTTAAATTTTTCGTTCTATATTAATTTATTTTTGTTACCATGATAATTTTAATTTAAACATTAGTTGCTTTTACTTAATAAATAATGATTTTTTCTTTTTGTAATTTCTTTTAGAGATGATATACAGTCTTAGAAAGTTTACAATCCCATGCAATATCCATAACAATCAAGTATGTAATTAAGTTATTCAAAGTGTAGATTAAAATTACATTTAGTCTAATACACTTATAATGTATTTACTCACTTGGAATTGCCTAGAATCATTAATAATTGCTCTTGCTGTTTTATAACGAATTATGTTCTGCTTGGTTGTTATTGATTTTGGTACCTAAACAAAAACATTAAAATTAGGTAAAATGTATTTTATACTGGTTCTTTGGTGGTTTGCTTGTTCCATGCTTGCTCCACTCATAAATTCTCATTGATGCCTCTTAAAGAGAAAATGTAATTTTAAAATTATAAAATATAATTATTATTATTATTATTATTATTATAAGGTAATTTGCCTAATTATAAAACAATAGAAAACACAACAAAATTTAACAAAATTCATAAAAACTTATTATTATATTAAGTGAGATACAAAGGATCTCTTCAAAGATTTGTTGAATAAAATTATGTATCTAACAAATAACTAATTATTTTCTAGAACCACTACATTACAAACACTAATAATAATTGTTATCATTGTAATACGTGTAATGTTTCTTTTGATGTTTAGCTGAGATATATCTAATTTATTATGTAACTTAATTCAAATAAGATTTATCTATTTCAATAAAATATTATTTTAAATCTGCATTATAATTATAAAATTTCAAAAAAATTATTTTTTATAATAAACGCTTAGAAGTATTATTATTTATTACAGTGTTTGGAGACCATATAAATACATGCAATTTAATAAATATTAATGCAATAACAGGCATGACAAGTGTGTAGTTGGTAAAAAAAGAATCATAGCCTATAATATATAGATAATAATTGCTAATCCAGGTAATTAATGTTTGTGAATAAAATTGTGTTGTTAATTAAAAATATAGTGAAGACAAGAGGTATATTAAAAAAAATTTATATTGATTACAATATTAAAAAGGTAACTAATTTAGAGGAGAGGGATTTTGAAATTGTAAATTAAAAAACTTGTTGACATTATAAGGGGGCTGTAGTCTCAAAAAAGTTTAGCACAGCTGGTGTACATAATGGTTTATTTCTCTTATTTAGATCATATTTAAGTGCAGTACACTCAACAAAACGATGAGAATAGAATGTATTTTGTATTTTTGTTTTAATCTAGTGTCTTATCAGTACCAGACTCAACAAACTTTACAGTTTCACAGATATAACTCTTGCCATGAATGGTATAATGCTACACCAATAAAATAATAATAAATAATTAAAGTACGTATATCAATACTAACATTAAATTTTAGTCTTTATTTAACTCAACATAAAAACTGTAAATATATAAACATGACTTAGATAATTCAACTATGAACTATGGATTTCAAATTAATATGTAAGAGAAAAAAATGAGTTAAAGTAAATAAACTATATTATTATACTTCTAGGTAGGCATTGTTTGAAAAGAATGTCGTTCATATTTAGTGAACAATACATGAACATAACTCGTTTTTTTCAAATTGTATGTGAACATTGTATATATATTTATGAATTTGAACAATTTTTAAGACGCTTAATTTACCTATTTAACATTTAAAACATAGATAGGTATTCAAAATGTATTGATTAAACAATGTTAATTAATAAACGTTAATATTGGATAATAATATTTTCTGAACATAATTCTTATTATAAAAAATATAATGAACGACCCAGTAAACGCATTCATCTTTTCAATGAACGTAAACGTCAACGTGTTCATTTGATAAAAACATGAACTGGAATGAATTAATTTTTTTAGTGAACATTCCGAATACTGATAATAGGTACCTATATGATATTTTATATTATATATAATGTATTTAAAAATGGTACCGAATAGAAGTAAAGGAAACGACTTCTTACAATAATATTCACACGGCGGGCTTCATCTGGAACGTTTTCACGGAGGACTTGAGCTAGAGAACAGGACTTGACAAAGGTGAGCGTACTGAACTGCGACACACTTTTCGATCACCGAACTGTTATTGACGTTAAAAAATTCACTAACACTGCTTCAACGAATATTCAATACACTGACGTTAAGTTTCATCGGATTAAAAACTAGTCAGTAAGAGCACAATCTGAGACTAACGCGTTTTACGTCAAAAACATTCGAACGTGAAAAAGGTAATCAACGGGGGACGAGACACGATGGGACTGGGCCCGAACACCAATAACAAATAATAAAAAAATAATTAAGTAGTTAAAATCTCAAAATCAACAGCAAATTACAAACCATGTGAGTAGGTGTTGCGTATAAACTGATACTGGAATGCTGGATAGCGTCGAGTCCACACCTACCTGTTGACCAATTGGTATTTTGATAACGGGCTACCAGTGCGAGGTGGATATATACGGTGGACCAACTAACACCCTCGCATCATGTCAGAGGTGTACGTCGTATTTACTACAAATGATAATCTCGGTAGAGTGCGCTGTTTGCTATTGATGTCCTATTCTTGTCAGCAGCTGACCGAGCGGCGGCGGAACGCGGATGCATTAATTTTTCACTTGGTAGTTACCTTGCGTGCCGGCGATCGACGTAATAATTAATAATATTATAACTTATAATACTGACAATTGTCAATGTATAATGTGTATTATCATTAACGGCTGTTAATATTGAAAGAATATTATGCTATACTTATATTATAATTATACTATTTGAAAGACTCAGGAGGTATGTAATTAATATTATTGAACATTATTATTTAATTGTTTCTATATCTTAAATAGAGCTGCAAAGAATACATTTAACAAATTGTTATTGCTTTCGAGGTTTCGCCTGACAATACTTCACAAAGTAATTCATTAACAACCACAATTGCATTACTTGTAGAAATACTAAAAACTTTGTAAATATTATAGCACTTGCAAATACCCTATTGCATGACAATTCTTCTTCGATTTTCCCTATTATTCCCCCTAAAAATATTGGTTATAACATCTATAGAGATGCGAAGAATTTTAAATTACCAGATAGATACAAGTAGTATGTGTTTGGGGAGTTTGGCTCCATTTTTACAGGGAGATGAAAAAAAATCAAGGGAACAAATTCCCCTTACAGTGCATCCAATCTCCCTGTAATTTCAAAACAAAAATTAAAATGTTTAACCAGTTTGTTAATCTTTTTCATAGAATTTTCCAAATAAATAAAAAAACATTTTTTTTCTTTCAATTTTGTTTATTTTTTAATCAATTAATAGTATTTTACATCAAATATTTAATGTTTACAATTTTAAATTATTATTTACCCTAGTTTTCTTACTTCTCTAGTAAAAGGTACATATTCAACAATTCGAACATGAATTAATAAACAATAAGCAGATACACCTGAAAGCGATTCTGATGATTCAATTTCTAATTGAAAATCTACTGATGAGGCTGTGGCTGAATCGTTCTGTTTTGAAGTGTCAACTACAATAATTGGAGCGTTTGTTAAAAAAGTAGAAGGGCTTATAATATAGGATTATGTATACTTTTTTTATAGTACGATTCTTGAAACGATGTATACATATCATATAATAAGGTGAAATTATTTTTCGAAAAATCTAAATTCAAATTATCATATGGATAAGCGACTGAGTTCAGAAAAACTTTAACGTTAGTCAGATTACAATGATCAAATATACTACAATCTTTTGCAAAAGAATTTTTACATACTTTTTGTAATCCAATTATAATAAATCGTGGTTTTTCTAATTTTGAAGCAGTTTTTAAATTCCATACAATTTTTTTTGCGATTCCGAGTTCAGGATATTCAAAAGTTTCAAATGATCTAAGAGGAATAAACAAAATTTTTTCTTTTTCTACAAGTTTCAATAATTTTAATCATACTCCGTCGTCAACAGTGATGTGTGGAACCTTCCATTCTATTTTGTTTAAAGTAACTTTGGCTGTAGATGCAACTACACCACTTTTAAAGTTTAACGCATTTAAATCTGTATGGCTTCAAGTTGATATTAATTCCAATTTAGAATCTATATTTTTTTAAAGTCTTCAAACAAGCCTAACCAATATTTCAATGGAATACAAGCACTAAATTCACCTTTTTCATTTGCTGATTGTGTTCCGTTTTTAAAATTCTAGCCTGCATTTTCATAACAATTATAGTTGTCTGGTGTACCGGATAAGTAACCTTTCAACCATGGCTTAAATATACAAGGTTATTGCAATAGTACCCCCACTATATCATTTTATCACGTTAAGGAATTAAAATAGTAGTAAGGGGACGACGTATACTGGCTATATTATGATATATGCTATAATATGGACCGTGCCCTTACGCTGCCATTTTATTTTTATTTGATAACAATTTGGCTATGTGCAATAACCTTGTATATTTAAGCCATGCTTTCAACGAGTTCGTGATTCCAAGAACACGTGTGCTATCTACTTCTATCCCGTTGATTTCCAATAGTATTTGATCGAAGAGATAAGAGTAACCGTTATTAGATAGTTTCACTTTGTCAGCTTCCGAAATCATTCCTTCTAAATAAATAAAGCTTTCGTAAAGATACGGATAAACATCTGTTTGCTGGATTGAAATACGTATTTAATCGTTATTATTAAATGAAGTAGTATAAGGTGTATATGAATGATATTCAATTTTTGTTATTTTGAAATCCGTTTCGTACTGTGAACTAATATCTAAAATATCACTCTCAGGCATTTTGCTTTAATCGATAACCCAGGGATTGTAAAATTCTTTTATTTTTCACATTCAATATTTTTACTTTATTTGATGTTGCCGGTATCACTTTAGTCTTATGACTAGGTAGTTGATCTGTTCTGAAAATGGGGGTTTATATTGAATTTTAATTCCATCTCAAGATTTGTAACGTTTAATATGTAACACGATTGTCAATGTCTCACCAAAATTATCAATCATATTATGATCTTGATCAACTAGCTGAACGGTTATGGAGTCGATATTTGTTTTATTCAATTTGTAATATATTAAATTTGGTGGCGACTGAATTACTTTAGATCCTGACCTATCACTCGGGAAAAACTCGTAAATCGAATGACTTTGAAAATGGTTGCTGAATGATCCTTGAGCTATGTTACACATTACTTTTATAGAATTAATTGTGTTTAAATTTACAGCTTTTTCCGATCGAAGAGTTTCAAACTCTGGTTTATATTCTCATTTTTCAAAACCTAATACAGGCGCCATACTATGTAAAATCTCAAAGTGTAGTATTCCATTACATTTTATGTACGATCTAAAATCGATAGGCTTAACCGAAATTTCGAATGTTAACTCTTTGTTGAATTTTCTATTATAGACATCTATTTGTTCCTTAACTTGACGCTTAATATCTTCAATTTCATAACATCCCTCTTCCAGTTTAATAAAACACATCATGTGGTCATTATTATTATTATCGTCAACTACTTGTATTGCAAATTTATTATAATTTTCGTTAATATTTTGGAACGAATTAAATGTCTGCAAACATAACAAAGCTATTTCCGAGTTCTCGTTGAGGTTTATAGACGGAAAATAATTTGTAGATAATATGGTAGTATTCCCAGTCAAACTTAAAGTAACTGATTCATACATTACACAATTTGAGATTCAAATTTAATAATGAGATCCGTGACGTTTAATATGAAAAAAAACTGTTAATGTCTCGTTTAAGTTATCAATCGGATTATTGTTTTGATCAACAAGCTGAATAATTATTGAATTAATATCTGTTTTGTTTAATCTATAATATATAAGGATTAGCGGAGTTTGAATAATCTTTGATCCTGTTCTTCCACTTGGAAAAAACTCGTGTATTGAATGACTTTGAAGTTGGTTGCTGAATGATCCATGTGCTATATTACACAATACTTTTATAGAGTTAATTGTGTTTAAATTCACACATTTCTTTGATCGATGAGCTTCATGCAATGGTTTATAGACTTGTTTTTCAAACCCAAAGACAGATGCAATACTGTTTGGAATATTTAACCTTAGTATCCCATTACATTTAATGTACGTTCTAAAATCGATGTGATCAAAAGTTACATTAAAGAATAGCTGTGTTTTATATTCGTTATTAAAGTGAAATAACTCTTTTGAAATTGTATTGTTAATATCTTTTATTTCATAACATCCTTCATCCAAAATAAATTCAAACGTTTTATATTTATGTTTATTATTTAATGAAGGAATTGGATCCATCTCCAGCCGGTTATTAGTCGAATTTATATTTGGAAATGAATTAAGTGTTTGTAAACATAATAAAGCTATTTCCGAATGATGCGTAAACGATTAAAGACGGAAAATAATTTGTAGATAATATAGCTGTATTTCCGGTCAAACTTAATGTCACAGATTCATACATTGTAAAAATTTAATGCATAAATGATCACAATTAAATGTATTGAAATCTTGATAGTTAAAATAGTTATATACTATTTTATACTTGTGAAAATAATGTTGTAATTCAATTGGCGGGGGTAAATCACCAAAGCTGTCAAAATATACAACTTTATCTTTATTTTTATGAAACGCTACCCAATGACTTCCTTCACCTGAAGATACATCCAAGTTTAAAATACCACATTCAATTGCAAACCGTTTTTTAGGTAAGTTATCACGTGAAAAGACACCACGGAAATGATTGATTCTTAACTTTCTAACACAATTTATAATATCTTGAGACGAAAGTGGTCTGTCAGGTAGCGAATTCAGTAGATTTTTTTTCTTGGTGCATTATTGACTAAATTTAAACCATTATCTTTTTTACTTTTCGAATTTTGAATCGCATTATACACCTTACTACCTTAGCACCTCCAGATATCAAACTACCAAGTGCCGACAATCCTGCAAATATTGGCATTAAGGGAATAATTGTACCTAATGACTGTCTCGGTGTCAAAATCATCCTTTTACCACCATTTTTTTTTCATTGCTGCTAGTATGCCATTTATTTTTATTTTTGTTACACGTTTCCGCTCACCTTTACAGCGTATACGTATTTTTCTTTTAGCTTTCATTACGTTAAATACTGCGTATTACTTTGTTACTATTTTTTTACACTTTATCAGCTTTATGATTATCGTTTAAATTGATGACTATTTATAAGAAAGTTTACAAGTCATTAAACAGTATTGACCGATTTACACTTGTGAGTTGAACGCGTTATATATAACTGATTACAAAGTACAAATTCTAGAGTATTTATATGAAAAAATGGATTTTACTGAACAGAAAGATAAATTAGATATTATAAATGTAGATGTTCAGTTAGTAAAAAAACCATCAAAACATGGATCATTATTACCTGATGCTATACGAGCTATACTAGTTGGTCCTAGTGCATCAGGAAAAACCAATATAATGTACAATCTGATCACACATGAAAACGGTTTAAGATTTGAAAATATTTATTTATACTCTAAAACCTCAAATCAGGAAAA